CCCTCCGCCCCGCCCACCGCGCCGCTCCCGTCTGCCTTCGCGCGCCTTTCGCCTACTTGTCTCTCCTTGTTGCTCCGCGCTAGCCCCGCGCAGCTCCCGTCCTCCATTGCGCGCCCTCCGTCCCGCCCGCCGCGCCGTTCCCGCCCTCCCTCGCGTGAGGCCCAGCTGGCGGCGCGGGCTGACGCCGGGCTCCTGCCGCGTCTCCTCCACGCGCGTCACCGAACCCTGGGCCGCAGAGCCTTCCTTTCCTCGCTTCCGACTTGTTTCCAGCGGCTCAGGGTTCCGTGAGAGCGCTTCGGGAGGTACCGCCCGACCCCGCCTCTCCCGCAGCCGGGCGGTGCATGCTCCGGCTAGAAGCGACGTTAGTCGTACGGCCCGGGGTACCTGCGCCCTCTGAGGTGCGCAGTACAGGGCTGGCCGGTTTGATTCGGTCGTGGTGGTGGGAGGCCAGAACACCTCCGGGCCGTGTTTAAGCTGCAGTCGTAACCGCCTAAACTGCCCTTGGACTCTGCCCCCCACCGCTGGGGTTTCAGTGCAGTGTCCCTGCGGTAGGGTGGACCCGGGGTCTGGCCTGTTTCATCCCAGAGCCATGTTATTTTATTTTTATTTTTTATTACATTAAGGGTACAATTTAGTGATTCATCAGTTGCATATAACACCCAGTAGTCCTTAAGTCAGGTGCCCTCCTTAATGCCCATCACCTGTGTATCTTAGCGCCCCATACAGCATGTGGTCTTGGGATATTCAGGTTTCCTTGTGCACGTTCATTCTCCGAGGATAAGGACGTAAGGCACAGGCAGGCATTTTCATTCCCTACTAACCAAACTAGAGGGAGTTCAAGTTAAAAACAGTGAGGGAGAGGCACAGTTCAGGTTGTTGCTTTAGGTAAGGTGTTTGGGCAAAATGGAAAGCGTGGTCAGTTTTCGGCTTCAGGTTGTTGACTATTGTAGGCAACCGCCTTAGACACCATGTATTTAAATAGAAGGTTGAAAATGTGTTCCTGAGTCAAGTAGAATTTTTGAATGGTCTTTTACTCCTTAAAAAAAACCCCAAAGCCTGTAGTTTTTAAACATTTATAATCCATTGTTGAATTACTTTTAAATATCTTCCCTAAGGTAGAAATCTAAAATAACTTTAGGGAAATGCCTGCTTCCCTGCCAACTTTGATAGAGCCTTGCTTTCTTTTTAACCTATTTCTCCTTTCCCCACTGATTTCCTGTAATTTGAGAAACCACAATAATCTGCAGTCAAGTCATCTAAACCTAACGTAATTTTAAAAACTTTAAGTTCTGGGGTAAGTTTTCAAAGCATACCTTTCATTTTACTTTTTCATTTTGTTTTAGGAACTCTTTGTTCAATATCTAGCCACCTATTCCTACAGACATGGCAGTGGAAAAGAAAAAAAAGCACTCACTTACAGTGATTTATCAAATACTGCAGAGGAATCGGAAACTTTTCAGTTTCTTGCAGGTACTCAGCCTTTGAAACATTCTGGTTAAAACGGGCATGGTAATTTACAGCTTTTTCCCCCTGCTTTCACTGAAATAGACTTTTTTTTTTTTGCTCCTTTCTCTGGGTGCATGACCTGGCACAGGAAGACATTTTTAGTTTTGCCAGAGTATGTTTGTAGTGTGGTTCACCTAGAATGATCATGAACTCAACAACCTGCACAAGGATGTTTGGCTGGCTGGCTGGTTGGGTGAGCCTGGCAAACCCACCCCCTAGACTCCTTATCACTGATGGGAAAACTCTGGCCTGGTCTGCTTGGCCCCAGAAACAGAAATTAATAGTTGTTGTGGACAAGCTGTGTGGGCCACAGCTAAACAGAGCTTAAATCTGTCCCCGGAGCCAGCCGGCTTGTCTCGGGTAGGTTGAGCAGACTTGCTCAGTCAACACCAGCACAAACAGGAGCACATGATTTGTAGTCCGTGGAGTGGAAACAGGTCTTTAGCATCAGTCAGGAGGTAGTGCTGGTTTCCTGCTGTTTCACCCAGAAGTGTAGTCAGAATTTTGTCTTGTTTTGGAACCTATTAAAGAGTTCAAAGCAGGAACTAGCATATTTTGAAATTTGCATTGCTGTGTTCATGGTCTGCCAAAACCAATTGCTGATGTTAGCTTTATATTTTTAAGATATATTACCAAAGAAGATTTTAGCTAGTAAATACCTGAAAATGCTTAAAGAGAAGAGGGACGAGGACGAGGAGGAGAATGACAGCGATGATGGGAGTGCTGGGGACGAAGCAGAATCCTAGACCAAACAGGAAGTGCCTTAGAAATCAGCCTGCTGAGGACCCTCCTGGATTAGCAGCATTGCTTGGAAGTAAGCACAACACTGTGTGACTTCAGACTCCTCACTTTTCAGAGATTCAAGTGCATTGGATTCCTTCCTAGCTAAGATAGAGCACCTGATGTGCCCACACCATAGATGGCCAGAAGGAAAGTGACCCAGACAGCAGCCTCTCTCTGAGTGGCCCACGTTGCAGTTCCGGGGGGACACGGGGGCACCAAGAGAACTGCCTGTACACTCAGGCCCTGACTGTTGATCTGCAGCTGTAAGCTGTAGAGATGGACAATTTTGCTTCACTTTTTAATTTACAGATAGATTTTGAAGAGCTTCTAAAGAACAGTTGTGTAAATTCATAGATGTATATTTGGAAATTAGTTCTTGTAAACAACTAGATGTAGTTTGAGCTAAATATATAGTTTGTGGGTAGTATGTTACATGTGAAAATTTGACGATTTGTCCAAGTACTGCGATTTTATTAACTGTAAAGAAAAAAATTTCTTTATTAGAAGCTGTATGTAGTTTTATAGTAAATGCTTTGTGGAATTAGTTTTAGAGCTCTCTGTTGTTCT